TCTCTCTCTCTCTCTCTGTCCCTCCCCCACTTGCGCCCGTTCTTTCTGTCTCTCAAAATGAGTAAATAAACCTAAAAAAATGAAAAGGGCATCTCAGCCTCATGGTGACCCCTGGATGGGGTTTTTCATAAGTGGGCTTTGCCAGCCCTGTGGCCTTGCACAAAAGAGTGGGCACGACACATAATTTCTGTGGCTTCGATTTCCTCGTTGGTAACATGGCGGGGGGAGGGGGTGACTTCGCCTCTCCCTCGAGGGTTGGGCCAAAGAATCGATATAAGGAAAGCACTTGGCCCCAGTTTGCAGATGTGAAGTGTTCCATGTTCCACCGGCTGTGTGGCTTTGGGAAAGTCACCCAACCTCTCTGTGCCTCCCTCTCTTCATTCCTTAAAGGGGGATGCTAATCACTGTCACCGCATAGGATTGTTGTGGGGTTCTGGTAAACCATTCCCAGTTGGCAGATGAAGAAATGAGGTTCAGGGAAAGTTTGTCGCCAGGATTCTCTAGCTAGCGGGGTACCCCTCCCCCGTCTCCCTGCTCACCATCCCTCTTGCCCTGACATTTCTCTGCCGCCGGCCCCCCCCCCCCCGCGCCCCCGGGGGTGACCTCAGTCCTCCTCTCCTCCCCGGTCCTCACGGTGTCTCTCCCCCATATTCCTACAGCCAGAAGTTGTCAGGCGAATACTTCAGGTACAAGGGGATCCCCTTCCCCGTGGGCATCTACTCACCCGAGAGCATCCGCATGGTCGAGAACGCTGATGTGCAGGACGACGACATCTTCATCATCACCTACCCCAAGTCAGGTACCTGCTGGGAGGGGTTGCTGGGGGTGGGGGAGGGAAGGTGGCCACAGAGGCTGAGAAGGGAGCACCCAGGGGAAGGAGGCAGAGGAAAGAGTGGGGGGAAGGCCTGAATCTGCTCAGAACCTGGAGCTTGGGCGTTTGCACTGGCGGACCCCTCCGCTAGGTGTCGCTCTTCCCCCCCACAACCCAAGTGGGCTCATCCTCCTCGGGGAAGCCTTCCCGTGGCCTCCGGGGCTGCAGCACCTGTCCCCACCCTGTCCCGCTCTATCCCCTTAAACTCGCCTCTACTCTTCTCAGCCCGTGTCGCCACCGGCCACTTGGCTGTGTTTTTGGTTGTTGATTTAGCCTCCCGTCTCCCCCCACCCCCCCCAGAACATGAGCTCTTGGAGGACAGGCAGCTTAGTGTGCCTGGATCGCGGCTGTATTCTTGGAGCCTAAGTCGGTGCCTGGCACCCATTCAGTAAATATTTGCGGGAGGAAGTGGGGGCGGAGGGAGGGACGATCTTCATTGTCTCCCTCCCTTTCGCTGCTTATTCTCTGCCATGGGTGCAGACGCGGCTGTGAACTGGGGCGACATTTGTCAGTTTCTCCGGCGAGACAGGCTTTATGTAAACCCGCGCTCACTCCTTTGACTATATAATTAGGGTTGGGGGGGGTAACCTCGAGGAAAGGTGCAGAGAGCGTTGAATGTAGGTAACAAGAGACCGTCTGGGGGATGAGCGCAGGCTTTGAGGGGGAGAAGATGTTCGTGCGGAGATCTGGAAGCCGCAGAGGCGTTTGAGTGGGAAAGGGTGTCCTAGACGACGGAGGAATGGCACACGCCAAGGCCCGGGGGTCGGGGGAGGCTTGAGGGAATCGAAGGAACAAGACGGGATCAATGAGGCTGTGATGCAGGGGGCAGTGGAAGAGGCTGGGAATGGGGGGGGGGGGGGGGCGCCTGGAGGATGAAACATCCCTACTTCATGTCTTTGTCAGAATATGTTTGAAAATTTTCAAAATATGGCTCTCTGATAGAGTTCTGTGAGGGGTCCTTTTTGAGATATTCATGTACCATGTGGTTTATCCATTTTAAAGTGTACGTTTCAGGGCACGTGGGTGACTCAGTCAGTTAAGCGTCTGATTTCGGCTCAGGTTATGATCTCACGGGTCGCGAGTTCGAGCCCCGCACCGGGCTCTCTGCTGTCAGCCCAGAGCCCGCTTCA